ACTCTGTAGGAAACATGCCTTGAGAGAGATTCTGTGGCACAATTCCTAGTACAACAAATCACTATAGTGCAATGACTGCACATACATGTCCAACTGTAGCTCGATGAGGTATGTGGTAGGAAAGTAGAACCTCATTATTTTGTGTTTCAGTACATTATAACTAGCAGGGGGAGTGCATGTCAAGCTCTGCTGTTCACTGAAGCAGGATCAGTGAGTTCTTACTGGTGTTCTCATGGGCAAGGCTAGGCAGTGGTACAGTCTATGTATTCATTCCTGAGCCTTGCTGACCTTCCCATGCCTTCAATCAGGAAGGTTTAGTGCAGATAGCAATTCTAAGTCTCTGTCTTCATTGTCCAGTTAGTTTACTTGAAGTAGCATGGCCATGCTAAGCCATTTTCCTGTACTACTGCTATAGCTCAATTAAATCTCTGCAAGCCACTACTGAACATGGTTAAAGGTAAGTCAGGAGATATGGAGAGCTAGAAGCCCCTTCCATTTCATCTTCCCCTGCCCTGAAACAGGCCTGGCCTCATCATAGCTCCTACATGATAAAATCAGAGGTGATGTATTTTAAAAAGAAATAAAAATCTAAGCAATATACCAAATAGAGGAATTTTCCAGTCCCAGACTCGTTTTCTTTGCAGTGCTGACCTGGAACACACCTTTGTGGGGAATCCTGACAGTCTCATTCAGAGACAGAGACTTTTCTGACCATGTCACACATCAACAAGTGCTCTTTTGTGGTTACATACCTCTAGGCCTTGCTTCTACCACTGTCCACTTAGGGCAGAGGCATCACTACGGGTGACCACAGCACCTGAAAAGCTTTGCATGCCTCTGGTGATCACACTGCATGCACATAACAGTGTGTGTTCTGGAGGATATGTGCTCATGGTTTGTTACTAACTACTTTGCTTTATCCTAGCACTGCCCCATCAGAAAGCTCTGACTTAGCTGAAACAGTGCCAAGTAAAGTTAGAGGATGTAGCACATTCATTCCAACTCTTAGGAAATAAAATTTGTGCACCTCTGGCTCTTACAATTACTGAGGCAGAAGACTTTGTAAGCAGGACTTTTCCCACATTAATGTAAATGAAAATTCTAGTGTCTAAATAATCCATGTCATAGTCAAATATTATTCTGCCTTTGCCTGATAGGGCTGTGAGGTATCACGCTTAGGATGCAGGTGGTATTTGTGAAGGAAGGCTTTAAGGATTTGTTGGCAACCTGGGAACAGTAAGTTACTAGAAGCTGACTGGTGACATAATATTGGATAACTGTTTTTAGCAGACTCATCACATTCAGAACAACTAAAAGCCCAGCAGAAACATCTGGATCATTACTGCTTCAGATCATGTCAATTTAGCCCCAAGGACATGCAGGACTTTATTCATGAACTTACATTTGCAGACAAGGTAAAAACTTGACAAACTAAATACATGGAGCTGAACCCAAGAACAGCATGTATCCCACTACAGGGCACTAAAAATTACTGTGTGTGCAATTCGTGTTCTGTAAATTAGACAAGACCAATTCAAAATGAAGCGAAATTTCCATTTCAAAGTTGTCAAACTCCTGCCCCATAAAAAAGGGCAAAACAAAACCCAACAACCCTCCCCCCTCTTCTTTAAAGAGTAAATTATACATTTAGACCTAGCATAGCACAACAGACATTTAGTGCCCCCACCAATTACAGCTATAAATTAATTATCTGTCCCTTTGTTTCCTGGTACTTCTATCCAAATTCTATTCAACTGAATGCTGCTACTGGCACACAAAAAGCTTTTTAAGTGTGTTCACTTCTACTATACCTGTATTGCTTAGCTGTGCTACTTTTTTCCACATTTTGCCCAAGACATTTTTATGGTATTGGCCAGACTTAAACTGCTCTTAATATCCAGAGAAAAACATTAGAATTACTGAAGTCTGCAATAAATTTCTGAATTGCTTTTGTTACTGAAAAAGCACACTTTCTTCTTTTGATTTATTACAACAAAAATCAAATGGAATCTCTAGGCATTCCTTAGATCAGACATATGCAATTTGTTATAAAAAGTCTACTTATCACACTTTTGCACTACATTCTGTTGATGTAACTGTAAAACCAACTCAACCGTGTTATTGCTTGTTGTATGTAGCCCACAATCTCACACTGATCACACTAGTAGGTGGCTGAATTTTAGTGCTGGAGAGTGACAAAACTGTTTATTAAAAACTAAATTTAATGTTCCCTTGCATATGAGCGATATAAAAACAGAGCTACTCAACAGTTCATAACAGTCCCTGATAGAGGGTCATATTTCCCTGCTCTGCTGCTTTCAGAATGGAGGAAACTTTACTAATGAAGCATCAGCCCATGTGCTACTGGAAAAGAAACAATAAGCAATGAGACATTACTCACTGGTAGCAATGGTTACTCATTACTCACTGGTACTCCAGTTGTTACCTTTGAAAAATTTAAGATAATGTACTTTCTCTTTTTTTTTTAGGAGATTGAAGGAATGCATTTTGATTAGATAATTAATGCTGTGAGGAGGCCATGGTAGTGACAGATTACAGAAAAACACAGAGCTGACCAAGAATGACATCTTGAGTCTTCTGCAGCTATACTTACATTCATTCTTGGCCTAGAGAGGTCCATTTTGCATATAACTTTCTTACTGCTTTTCCATTTTCTTTTTCTAACACTATAGCTGGTTTTGTTTCTTTCCACTTTCATAGTCTGCCTTCATTGACCTCAGGTATTTAACGTGGGTTTTTTCTTCTTTTTTTCCACACAGACATATTGATTGGTTTCTAAGAGAGACTGAGCTAATCCTTTGAGTTTAGTACAGCTTGACTGCTGGGTTCAGGCTAGTAACCACGGTAGCTGGATTTTAATGTCATCTTCCTTTGGTTTAGCAAGGCTCTAAACATAATCTCCTAAAGCATCCTTATGTGGAAGTTGGGACATCCTATCTAGATAGGTGGACTAGCAGACAGGCCTATACTTTACTACTTATTACAAGTGGTGTTCCTCAGATGTCTACCCTGCAACATGCTTTGTTCCATGTCTGTACCAGTAACACAGAATGGGTTCCTGCCAAGTTTAGTGATGCAAGTGACTTGCTCAAGGGCAGGGCTTCCATTCAGAGGGACCTTCAGGCATGGTCTGGCAGAAATTTGTGAAATTTGATTAGGAAAATTATAAAGCCCTGCATCTGGGATAGACTAAGCCCCACAGCAGTACAGGCTGGGGACTGCCTGGCTGCATGAAAGGGGCTTGGGGATCCAGGTAGGCAGTGAGCTAAGCATGAGCCCACAGCACACACCAGCAGCAATGAAGACTAACAGGAGACTGGGCTGTATCAGCAAGGGCCTAGTCTTTAGCCAGAGGAAAATGATTACTACAGTGATGCTGATAAACTGCATCAAAGACATGAGATGGCCTCCAAGGTGATTGAGAGCTGAAGCACACAACCTGTGAGAGAGCCTGAAGGAAATGGGCTTGTCTAGCTTGGGGCAGAGATGTCTTCACTGGGACCCACCAGCACCCTTTTGATACCTACTGAAAAGACAGAAACCACCTCTTTACTGAGGTGTTAGGTTTCCAAAGCTGTTGCCATCAGCAACCTGCTCTGAATTCAGTGTTAATTCCACTGAGTGGGAGGTTGGACTGGGTAACCTCCTGAGATCCCTTCCAATCCAAATGACTTCATGCTAAGCGATGTGTCCTCTGTTTAACCTCTGTTTAAGGTCCACAATAAAGAAAACAACTTACCAACCAAAACAACAAGCCTGTATTTGTCATTAGGTTGTCGTCTGTATTTTGCAACTTCTTCATAGGTTGGGATATCTGCTGTATCATACTGATCACTCTTCTTGCACTCATACATAGACTTGTTTGTTTTTTTATCTTTTCTGCTAAGACGAAAGCTTCTTCTAAAACCAGCTGCAATAAGAACAGGTTTTTTACAAAATAAGATAATAAGTCTTCTCCAAACATTTGAAAACAGTCTCTTCCAAACCTTCAAGGATTGGAGCATGGAATAAAAAAATGTATTATATGTTTAATAAGCCAGGTCATTAGAATGACATTTCCCATGTTTTAAACTATATCAGGTACTTATTTAAACTGCAAAATTAAGATTACCAATAAAAGCATAACCATTGCAACAACAAGCTGTAAAATATAATCACATTAAGTTGTTAACATATTTAGATAATTTGAATATCTTATAAATTAGTATATATACACAAGGAAATTCATGCAATCTGGATTCTCATACTACACATAATGCATGTCTACTAAGTCACCATGGCACACAGACATCAAATACAATGTATGGTAGAAACACAACTGGTGGTTGAAAGGGTTAAGGAGAATTAAGTCCTTGAACAATTCTATTGTGCTTAACTCCATGCTGAGAGTATATTAAAAAAGTGCC